TTATAAACTTGGAGATTGAAATAAAAAGAACAAAAAAGCTGAAAGAGTTATGAAGATTAAATAGAAAAGTAAAAAAAAAAAAGCATATTTTAAATTTGCTAAAATACAATCAATAATAAATGAGAGAATTAGAAAAAGATGTTAAAAGAAGAGAAATAAAAATAAAGAGAAATTCAATAAAAATCCTCATGGAAGAAAGATTGTAAATTTATTTACACAAAAACTTTTCTCCCATTCTCCATAAGTTTCCTACCCTTTTCTTGATTCTCTAAAAAGCAATGCATTCCCAAGTTTAAAATGAATATGTTTTCAAATTTAATCATACAATCATTTTTAATTACATTGCTGATGTGTATAGAAAATTGGAGTTAAAGACTCATTTTATTGTAAGTAATAGATTATTAGACCATACCAACCAACAATATGTATTATATATATTTTGAAAATACCAACTATTTATATATTTTTTGTTGACATCAAAGTCTATATTTATATGTATATATATATATATACATATATATTGTTGACATCAAAGTCCTTATTAGGAAAATTTTCTTTAAATGAGTATCTAACAGTCATACTAATTCCTAATTGAAGTTTTTATAAAAAAAAAAAAAAAAACCATCCCATAACTTGAGGCAACACATTTCTAACTTCATTGTTTTAAATTTTTTATTGGTTTACGTTGACAAAAAAAGTCACACTACATGGTTTGCGTTTGGATACTTCCAATTGTACATAAAATGTCTTATGTGTATATAATATGTAATCTTAAATAGTATAATCTATTTTATATAAATTAGCTCAATTTAAACCACTCATTTAATTAGTATGGGTAAAAATTAAAGTGGGTGTATCTATAAATTCGTTGATCATTTTTTTTCCTCATGAATTCGTTTTTTATATATAGTTGATGAAATTTTTAATATTTAAGTAAAATGTAGTTAGGAGTTTTTTCATCCATGTCTAAATTTTTTTTTTTCAAATTAACATAATTGGCTCACAAAAATTTATTAAGATGTTGCATAACATGATAGATAGAGTACTAAGTAGATACAAATTTTGAGAATAATTTATCTATAATTTTTATGACAATTCTATAATTAATCAATAATAATAATAAATTATATAAGAATTCATAACTTAAAATTTTTTACTACAATTTTATAATAATTCAATCATAATAAAGAATTATGTAGGGGTATATTATTTATAAGTATGGATTTTATATAAAATTTTGATATAATCTATACAATTTTAAATTGTGATTAGTTAATTATAATATGATGATTATAAGTGATATACTCTCAATTTTATTGATTTTACACAACTTTAAATTCAAAGTTTTTAATTATAGTATACTAACTGTGGATGATATGTTTTTTGAATTCGAGATAGATGTTCAACTAATCTACTACATTTACTAATGACCTTTGAAAAATGCAATCTACTTTCAAAGACAATGACTAAATACCTTAACCAAAATCTTAATAAATTTATTTTATTTATTCTTCGTATGTATGTTAGCATCTTATTTCCAATAATGAGAATCACTTAAAATTTTGAAGACAACTTATAGCCAAAATTCTCATAAAGAGAAAAAGTAATGACAAATGGCAACTTTTTTAAAATTATAGTTGAGTTTTTGAAACAACTCGTTTTGTTTTCCTCTTTATGAATTTTACCCATCAACATTAACACGTAACTTTTAATTTTGTAAAAGATTTTTTTTTTTTTTGGGTATTGAAATGCATGCACATGGGGTTCATTTTTTTTTTTTTGTTTCTTCATAATTTAGATGGGGTTCATTTCAATATCATTGCAAAGTGAAAAAGACATCATGAATCATGATAACATGGAATTGCTACAATAATAAGAGGTTACAGAGTATAGTGTTATCCTATTCTTATCCACTTTTACTGGATAATTTTATTGAAATCATTGGCGTTTTTTGCAATCCTTGAGAAATTCAGGTGTATTCAACATTTATCCAAATCCTAAAGAGCTTCAAGTTCCTCCAAACTACCAACAGATAATCTTCATATATCCATAAAAATTAATATATTGAACAATGATATAAGGCTACTCCAATTTGATCTAATATTTTATATTATGTTATACAAGTAGAATCCAAAATGTTTTGGATGTAGATGTTTAGTTTTTTTTAAAGGCTTCCTTAAAATGAAATTTTAAGTAGAAAAAAAATCTTGAAAGGTACCTACATAAATGCCTTAAATTAATTGCTTAAAAATATGACAATCATATCAATGAGTAAAAAGAGAAAAATCCAAAACCAATAAAAATTAGTTACTTTTTTTACATGCAAGTTCTTAGAAGATGATTTGAACACTTTTTTCACTTTCCAGAACGATCCACTCACTTTTCTTCCCATCTTCGTTCAAAACAAAAGCTTAAACAATTGTAAAGCACAGGCATAAATTTAGCAATATATCAGATTTGATAGACAAAATTTTCAACTAATGCTCATTACATTCATGAAAAAGTTTAAACTCCATAAACAATCAAAATTCACATCAAAGAAATAGTTAAAAAAACCCAAATAATTAGAACCCATTTCAAAAAATGATAAAAAAAACAAAAAAGAATAGTGAAAGCCAAAATTTTTTGACTTAATAATAAAAAATCTAGATCAGAAAAGTAATAAATAATTGAATAAAATAATAAAATCAAGTAAAAAACATATAGATAAAGTCAAAACCAAGTCCAAAAAACACTTAAAAAAAAAACACAAATTTTAGCGTATTCCTTAAAGGTCAATTTGTTATCCAGAGAAGCCTTGCGGTTTAACAAAGTGTTTGAAAAAAGCCATATGCAAGAATTGAAAAGAGATGAACAGAGTTTGAGAGGGTATTAAGAGAATTTTTTAGATCTATTTTATTACAAAATTACCCGAGTAATTCTTTTTTAAGACATTGTTGAGATGTGTTGGCAATATGAAATTGGAGATAGTTTTTATTTATAGTTGTAGATATCTACCATACATATATTTTCATCTTCTGTTACCTAAAATTGTGACATGTGGACTGTCACATATGTAGCTTTCATTTGTCATTTAAAATTATTAAGTTGCCATATATTCATTTTAAATTGCCAAGTCATTCAAGTTTAATTATTCCCTTTCTATGTCTTTTATCCCTTAAAGTTTAAAGTCAAGAATGTTTCATCTTTCATTCCTAGCTTACTGTCTCATCAGTACATGTATTCTTCTTTCATTTATTTAAAAAAATTGCTCTATTTTCTTATTTAAGAGACAATGGATCTTCTAAAGAGTTTTACTGCTTAAGGGGAGATGAATCTGCACTATTCAAATTCTTTATGTAAGTAATCGATTATCTCTTCTACTCATTATTATCTATTTATTACTTTTATTTTTCATTCTCTAAAAAAAACCCATTCATCTAACTTTTGATGGTAAGTATAATTTTTTTTTTCACTTAATTTTCTAAAAAATTCATTCTCTGTATTGGATTTAGGTTTTTTTTTTTCATTTTGGGTCTATCGATAATCTGTCAAATACCCTTTTCTTTAACAGCCTTTTTATGGAGAATATTTTATCAAAAGCATATTACTAACAGTTGAAACATTTTAACCTTCTGTTTTAATTCCCATATCCCTTAACCTATAGACAACTTATTTCAAAGATGGTTACCATAAGGAAATTGTTAAATCCATAGTTATTTCAAGCTAAAAAAAAAATATTGAGATTTTAATTTGAATATGTTTTTTTTCAAAGATTGTATTCAAATAAATACTTATCCTAGAAAAACTTATTCATTTCCCTTATCAATTCTAATTATTAGTCATTTTTTAATTGAAATTTTTTTAACAAAATTATCATGTTTATTTTATTGAATTTAGATTTTCTAGCATTTTGTGTTTTACAAAGGTTTAGTGGATACATTCATCTATATAAGTGATCTTTTAAATGGATATTGGTTGCCAAATTCTAGGTCATAACTTTTTCTCTTTTTCTTTTCAAATTCGTTTTTGTTTCTTGCATTTGTTTTTGAAAAAAAAAAAATTCTCCCATTCCTTTAAAACCTAAAAATAGAACAATCTTCCCTTAGTTTAAAGAATCTACTTGAATAAAAAAAATCTAATGTCTTAAAAGAAATTACCAAATTTAAAATTTATTTAGTGATTATACGAACAACATTTTTTCATTTAGGTTATTAGCAATCTCTCATATCATACATATATGTTTATATTCTTTTCTCAATTATAAAAATTATTTTATTATAGTATTATTGTATTATAGTTTTGGTTTAGTAATAAAAATTTTAATAAAAAAGTGAAATAAATCACAATAACTTATTAGTGACTTTGTTTTTTTTTTTTTTTTTAATTTTTTAAGACAAATTGAGTAAGAGATTTTATTTGGGATTGTGAGTTAATTCATAATTTAATTCAAATTCATTTGCTTCTTTTGATTGTGGAAAAAATGATATTTTTTATTTTTATCTATTGTGACTTTTTTTATTTTTTAAATATATGAGATATTTGAAATGTTTCAACAAGTGTTCATATTTTTTTATCTTTTGAAATATATTTTTTACTATTATAGAATATATTAGATAATAAAATGATAAACTACAGCAACGTGCAGGTTGCTATCTTGTTATAATAAAAATATTATATACAATTAATAAAAAATAAAACAATTTTTATGATTTTAATATTTAATGAATATTAATTCAAAACAACAAATAATTATTATATATATGCAAACAAAATATATGTAAATTTAGTCGGTATATATAATTATCTTACAATATATATTTGAATATTAAAATTATAAGTATAATTTAATTTTTTATTACTTTTGCATTGAATTTTTTTACCAAACATATAATAATTTTTTACTAATTATTTTTTATTATTGCTAAAATAATAAATATTTCTGATGAACTATCCCATTTTATAATTTCTCCTTAATACAAAATATCCTAAAAGAATACATATATAAATAAATAAAAACAGGACGGTCAAACAAAACCCTAGAAGTTAAACATCACAAAGACCTCAGCGAAACGAAACAAACTGTAGATTTCCCCAAAATTCTCCTTTTTTTGTTCTCTATCTAAACTTCAATCGTATTCCGAGAATCAAATTGAATTATCAGGTAAAACTTCATCTTCTTTTGCCCATTATTTCCCTTTGTTTTACATTATTGCCCTTCTGATTTCTCTTCTCTAATTTTTTTTTTACTTCAAGACTCTCTTTGGCCAGATCTACGTTTTCTGCTGTTGTTTATAACTTTTTAAAAAATATTTTTTTGGTGAAATTATGTATCTTTTTGGGATTCAATTTTATTGGGTTTGATGACAGAAATTATAGTTTTTTTATTGAATCCAAACTTTGTTTTGGCTAATTTTAAAGAGATTATTTATATGTATGCCGTTTAAATTTGTGAGTTTGATTTGAAATCTTAATTCTTTTTTCTGTTATTGAATTTGAGTTTCTCTTGATTATCTGTTATATTAATTTTGGGTGCGTGATTTGAAGTGGGATTTTAGTTTGTTATGGAAGATAAATTTGTGGGTCAAATTTGTTGAGATGCAATTAGTAGTTTATCTTTGAATTTTTGCAGCTGAAGTGCTGAGCTATGGATGGTTAAGGATTTATATAACTTTGTTGTTTTTAATGTTGTTACTGAGAGTTTTGGTTTTTGCTCTTCACTTTCTTGAAATTGCTAAAAAAAAAAGTAAGATCTTATTTGACTAGAAATTGAACAAATGGTTAGAATCAAGTGTCTATTCAAACATAATGTTTTTCTTATAAAAGTAATTTCATACATTTTTCTGTTCACTAAGGCGAAAACTTTTTAATTTTTTTCCAAAAATATTATTTTTTCTGCATCTGAACTCACCTTTTGCTTTTTGTTTGTAGAAGTAAGAAGTAAATAGTAAAACCAACAGCCAAGTGGAGCTTTAATCTAAATTATGTTTTGATGTTTGGAAATATGCCACTTTTCTGATTGATTTGGTCCCTTGATGAGCTTTATGCTGGTGCTTTACATTGTTAAAGGTTTGGTCCTTGAGATTGGTTCAGTTAGCAAGTATTTGAAATGTTTTATGATTGACTTGGAAACAGGTATTTATTTTGCTGATAATAATGGCGGGTCAGAGGAATAGCTATGGGAAGCGGGCTAATTCTCAGTCTGACTATTCTGAGAATGGATCAAATAAGAGGAGAAATCATGGTGATGACAGGGAGCAATTTGTTATTGATTCAGAAGATACTGTGTATCGGTATTTGTGCCCCGTAAGAAAGATAGGAAGCATTATTGGAAAGGGAGGGGAGATTGTTAAGCAATTAAGAGCAGACACTAAATCAAAGATTAGAATTGGTGAGACAGTTCCTGGTTCTGAAGAGCGTGTTGTAACTATCTACAGCTCTAGGGATGAGACCAATGCCTTTGAAGATGGTGAAAATTTTGTTTCTCCTGCTCAAGATGCTTTATTTAGGGTGCATGATAAAGTTGTTGCAGAAGATTTGCACGGTGATGAAGAATCTGAAGGCCACCAAATTACTGCTCGGCTTCTTGTATCATCTGATCAGATTGGATGTGTTATAGGAAAGGGTGGACAGATTGTTCAGAACATACGTAGTGAAACTGGTGCTCATATTCGCATTCTTAAGGATGAGTTACCTTCTTGTGCCTTGGCCACAGATGAACTTGTACAGGTACTTCGACTTTTTGATAGTTGTGGTATTATTTTTACACTGTGCTGATTTGTTTCACAATCCCCTATCTCCTCTAAAACATAGTTTAGGGATACATTGATGTGGAAAAGAGTTATGCTGAGAAGAGTTTTAATTTATTGAAAGCATTGACAAGATGTTTTTCTTGTGGATAGGGTGAACATTTTTTACAAAGATTTTGCTGTGTTTTGTCACTGGATTTAACAAAATTCAGCACTTAATTTTTCAGCCTTGAGTTCTTCAATTTTTGAAACAATACTTAAGTCTTTAGCCTCTATTTTGGGCATGCATCTAATATGTTCTATTTTTGTTTTTGTTTTTTTTTTAATCTTCATTTTCTTTGTTTGGTACCTGTAACATTTGTTCCTTTTTTTTTTGTTTTACTTTTTGTGATGTTCTCTGACAGTTAGCTTGTTTATATTTAATTTATTTTTGGTTTTAGATATCCGGGGAAGCTGCAGTTGTGAAAAAGGCTCTGCAACAAATTTCATATCGCCTTCATGAAAATCCTTCACGATCTCAGCACTTGCTTGCTTCTGCCATGTCAAATGTGTATCCTGCTAGTGCTGCTGTGCTTGGTCCTGCTGCTGGTACCCAGCTTGTAGGGATAACCTCATTGGTGGGTCCTTATGGAGGATACAAAGGTGACACTGGACAATGGCCACGCTCCTTGTACTCAGCTCCAAGGGATGAGATGTCATCCAAGGAATTTTCTCTTCGATTGGTTTGTCCAACTGCTAATATTGGAGGTGTGATTGGCAAAGGTGGTGCTATAATCAATCAGATCCGGCAGGAATCAGGTGCAGTCATCAAAGTTGATAGCTCAACTACTGAGGGAGATGATTGCTTAATAACTATTTCAGCTAAGGAGGTCAGCTTTTAATCTTTGCTATGTTGTGTTTCTTGTGGAAATATCTGTGCTCTGCCCTGTGCTAGGTTTTTTATGGTGTTCCAAATCTTGTGCTGTATTAGTTCTTTGAGGATACATATTCACCTACCATTGAAGCTGCTGCACGATTGCAACCTAGATGCAGTGAGAAGGTTGAAAGAGACTCTGGAATTATATCATTCACAACCCGCTTACTTGTGCCAACCTCACGTATTGGCTGCCTTATTGGTAAAGGAGGAACTATTATAACTGAGATGAGGAGGATTACAAAAGCTAATATTCGTATATTGTCAAAGGAAAACCTTCCAAAAATTGCATCTGAAGATGATGAGATGGTCCAGGTGAAGTACCATTAATGTTTTTATAGGTTTTTCTTCATCATTGCTTTGTATTTGTTGGTTCGAAGTTGTTTTAATTAATACAAACAGAATGTGGACGACTTTGATTTTTGATAAGGTGGTGACTTTGATTTTTGATTATCAGATAGCTGGAGACCTTGATGTTGCAAAGGATGCCCTTGTTCAAATAACAACAAGGTTAAGAGCAAATCTTTTTGATAGGGAAGGTGCTGTTTCTGCATTAGTGCCAGTTTTGCCATACCTTCCTGTGCCAACAGAGGGAACAGACAGTTTGAGTTATGAAAGTAGAGACAGCAAGAGGCATGGACGTGGTCATTCTTATTCTGGTGGTTATGGCTCCAGTGATTTAGCTGCTAGTGACAGCTATGGAAGTTATGGTGGTTCCCAGGTATTTCTTTTGACAACTTTACTGTTTTACAGGTACCTTATGCAGATGAAGTGTAGAAAATTCATTTGTTTGAGTCTGTTATCGCATTTGTCAAGTGAAAATGTTTTTAGTGCCTTAAAACCTTGTTCATTTTAATTTGTTCTTATAACCACTGTATCACCTCTCTCTCTCTCTCTCTCTCTCTCTCTCTCATCGCACTGATGATTCTTCATATTATAGGTTGGTGGTAGTAGCAATGCTTATGGAGCTTATGGAGGTTATTCTTCGGGACGTGGTGCTCCTGGGTGAGAATTATTTCTTTCCTTGAAAGAACATCTTTGTTGTTGTCCATGTTACTATCATGATTATCATCAACCACAGCAGGAATTCTTTGAGCTGAGGGAGTTATTGCGCTATTATAAATATTATATTAAAAATTTGAACTACATGGCCAAGTTTAATTCAAGGGAAACAATGCCAGACTGCATTTTATCCTTTCCCGAGCATGTTTATGAGGCTTTTAGTTTTGATTAGGTTAGTATGTTCATACTTTCTTAGGATTCTTCAACATTTATCATTAACTTCTCTTACCATGTTATCCAGCCATACACCAGTTTCACGGCGCAAGAACTATGGTTACTAAAATCCGGTGATTGGTACGTCCAGATTGACTATAGTTTTCCTGTTGGTATTCTTACGTCTATTGTTATAACTGGCAATTCTCTCTGATTTGGGTCAATACATACTAGTGCATGAAAGTTTGATAACATAGCCTATCCAATCTCCATATATAGGGTTCTGATGTTCTTGTTTTCCCTTTGTTGCCTTTCCGTTCCCATTAAAACAGCTGAGATTTATGAAGCCTGAAGCCAGCCTACTGCCTACTTTGATGAAGCCTGCCTAAACCAGAAGACCAGATGAACCAGGGTTTGACATACTCATGGCCTACCCTGATGCTACCACCTAGACGGACCAAATATATGTGGAGATCTTATTATTCTCTTTTAAATTTGCCATGTCCATGACTCCAAAAATACCAAGCTCTATTATATGTGCTCCCAAGAACCTAGCTAGCCGGCATGCCTGTTGCTGCCTTTTATTTCCTTATTTTGTTGTCTTTTCTGCTTTCTATTTTGCCTTTATTTAGGGGTTCAAAACCTTGTACCTTCTTCCATCCACTGGCAGTTGTTTTAGATTTCTGGGTTTGTTATCTAACATTTGCCTTCTGCATTTTCTTAATTTGCTGGTTGTCTCAATTTATGATTTATCCTCAACCAATTTACCCTGAAAAGTAGTGCATATGAAATGTAATCTGGAATGCTGACATTTTCATTCTATTTTGTTATTAATATCTAAAGCAGCTAAATGTCCCTTAATCAAGAAGTCCATTGGTATCTGCTTAAATTTATCGAGGAATACCTTCTTTAGAACATGTTTGGTCAAAAACTTAAAACCTAATACCATTTTTTTTCCTCAATTTAAACCGATTACCTGAGAGAAATGGGCTGCTAGTAAAACATTTCCTTTGACCATGTTATATACATTAAGGTAATAGTGTAGAATTGGTGGTGAGACACACTGTCTTACACTATGTTCGGTAGGAGGAAAAGAAGAAAGAATGAAAAGGATAAACGGTGTTTCTTTCCTTCATTTGGTTTGATAAGAGGGAAATAAAAGTATGCAAGGAAAATGGATAGATTTACATTTTTCTTTGCTCTCCGAATTTAATCCTTTCAATTTGGAAAGAAAACATTCTTTCTATTTAAATTAAACATTTTATTTACAATTTTACCTTTATTGTCTTTCTATTCCTCTTCTTTTTTTTTTTTTCAATATCAAACACAAGAAAAGAAAAACAACTCTCCTTACCTTTTTCTCGCCTTTTTCCCTTCTCTTTATTTCTTACCAAAACATAGTATTAATGATGCAGAAAATGAAGTAATATGCCATCTAGTCATCTACTGTTGGGGTTGAATTCCTCAACAGTGGATTTCGGTGAGGTATGCATGTTGCATTGTTTTAGGAAAATTGCTAGATTAGGCAGTTGCACAGTTTGATATACAATGCTACCAATGGATTTCTTAATTAAAGGGCATTAGAAGCATGGGAAAATACAATGTGTTGCTGTCTTCCGAATTGGTGGAGTACGTTTTTGGGTTTTGTCCTGCACAAAGACCTGAAATGAAAGGTAAGAACTTATTGTTTTTTATGGTTGCCTGTAACTTGACTTGAGAGAATAAAGGAGCTAATGAAGGTGTTTGAAACACACAAGTAAGTGATTGCTTAATATCCTAATAGTATTGTGTATTATTTTGTCAGTATGGTTTAACTGCTTAGAATGTTTTCATGAGCAATTGATTTGGTGGCAGGTTCTGAATACCCTCGGTATAAAATCTTTTATTCTTAATTTTGTTGAAGAGTGATTCTAATCTGCTTCTAATCGGCCGATACAAAATCTGGGTCGTAGCGGTAGCATGCATGCTGTGTTAATCTGTTTTGTGTATAACAATTTGATGGAGCTGTTCAATCTAACCATATTTTTCAATCCGCAGCCTGATCTGTTGCTGGTTACTGAAATCTGATAGCTTTGCTTGAATAATGTCAAAGTTGACTCAATGGTAAGGTTAGAAATGAATGAAATGAAATTGGATTCTACTGAACCGGTTGGAAATATTTGGGTGGATCAAATACCTTAATCTGGCTGCCACTTCTATGGATGATTCAAGTAATCTTTGTGATACATACTGTTGATGTATTAATATCTTTGCTCCTTCCTTCATTGGTCAGGCAGAATGAAAGTAAATACAATTCTTGTACTCATGACATGTAAAACACTAGCAATTTATGTTTTTGTTTCGTATTTTATATAAAAATTACGAATCATAATTTATGTCATATAAAAACATAAATTATATATTTGTTTTTGTTAAATTCATATATAATTTTTATTAAAATTTTAAATTGTATTAGTTTTATATTATTTTTATGTTTGTGTAATTGATATCATATTTTGAATTATCAAATCTAAATGAAAGCATAAGGAACATGGTTCAAATAATTTAGAGCACATATGTTTAGGAGGATCGTGCATTCCAACTCATCCTGTAAAGTTTTCTGAGCAAAATCCGAGGACAAAGTCACGGTAAAAACAACTGATGCAAAGGATATGGCCTTGTTGAAACTGAAATAAGCAGGTTTCTGAATTGGTAATTCTAAATGATTTACGGTGATGGAATGGTAAAGATGAAAAACTAGTGCATAAGAAAGGCTCAGCTATTGGTGTTTTAGGCTGCTTACTGTGTTTCCTCAAGAGAAGTGAAGCAGGAAAGTAGAGAAACTATGTGCCACACCATAGTTTAGTAATTTACTTTGTTAACGGCCAAAATCAGATCATGATCTTTCATGGCATCACAGTAAAATTCTTCACTGTTTCCATTTTTCTGTACAAAAGTTTGCCTGACGATGAACTTCCAAGCGAATGATGTTGATTCAATCCTCCTTGCAACAGAAAATTAAAACTTTTTTCCATTTTTTTTAATTTGCTATAGCAAATGATTGAATGAAGGTTTTTTTAATTTATTTGTATCATGCAATTATTTTTAAGAGATAATATTCATTAAATTTAAATTTTAATTTTAATATCTATAATTTTTTTTCTTATTCTTAGATTGTCGCTTCATTTGTTAAAAAAAATTTCTGAATGAGGAATGAAATCTGAGTCATACCTAACCATTGCAAGACTTCTTCCTCTCAAGTAAGAAACATATGGAACTACATGAGCCATTGGGCATTCATAAAATGTAGTTTTTTTTTTTTTAATTATACAAGGGACAATAAGCTATAAACATGGGTAAGTGTTGAAGTGTTTGACAGGAACATCTTACTATGATTTTTGTCAATTTATGATTCAATAAAAAAAATAGGTTTATAGGAAAATGTATGAATTGTACTCTTTCCATATTAAACTGATGGAACATATATATAAATATTTATTTATATATTTATACAAAGTGTTCAGATTCTGAAGTTTTGTTGTTAGTCGGGTAAATGAAGTAAATTCCCTCACCAAACTCAACTTCCTCAGTCAATTAGTAAAAGTAAATTCACTCACCTAACTCAGTCAATTAGTACAGATTCTGGATAGGCACTACAATGCTAGGAGGTTAAAAAATGCGTTGGGGGTAATCCATGATATATATTTTTGCTTATGTTCTTTCCACAATACCGATCATTTAAGCTGTCACGCGGTAGTTCCATATTATTTTTTTTGTTTTTTGCTTTTTTATTTTTTATAAAATTATTAGAGAAAAAAGAGTAGTTGTTCTTTGCTTTAATCAAAAAAAGAATGAGTGGGATAGGTGAAAGGTTTAGGTGATAAATTTATACTAACAATTAAAGCTAAAATAACGTTTTTAAAAGAACAAACGTAATAGATAATTATAATTTTATAATTTATATATTTTTTAATTTTTAGAAAGCATTATATTTTTTAGATTTGAAACGTAGTAATTGATATAATTAAAAAAATAATAATAAAATAATATATATATTTTTATATCAATAACATTTATAATGTAGGAGATGTAATAATTTTTGTAATTTAAAAAAATATATTTATGATACTTGAAAATATAGTCTTTGCTAACAAAGATCATGTTTATTAATTTGAAAACATTGTTCATAATCTATTAAAGATCATATCTTTTGGTTTCAAATCATAATTGATAATAAATAAAAAAAATTAGATTTAAAAATTATTTAGATTACATTTTCTACGTCATAAACATAATCTTTGAATCGAAAAAACCATGTTTCTTATATAAAAAATGTAGTCTTTGACATAAAATAAGACCACGTTTTGATAGCATCATATATATAAATACTACAATTCTACTTTCATTTTTTATTACACCTATCGCTTTTTCCTTTTATCTCTTAACAATCTAATGATCTTTTATATTTTCTTTTATATTGAAAGTTTTTTTGAACGCAAATGAATCATTGGCAATTCAAGTGTTGAAGTCTACGAGTTTCTTCCAAGATCCACATTGGTATTGGATTGGAATAGGGGGATTGATTGGATTCACATTTCACATTATTGTTCAATTTTTGTTTTACTTTGGCTCTTACCTATCTAAATTACGAGTCTAGCTTTACATATTTAAACTTGTGCCTCTTTGGAAGTTAGAGCTAATCTTTTGCCATTTTCAAATAAATATGCAGCATTTGAGAAGCCTCAAGTCATAATATCAAATGAACCTAAAAGCAACGAACAAACCAACTTTTCTTCATTGTTTTTTTTTTTTTTCGTACATAGGTCTTGTGTTTCAAAATACATGCAGACTTCTTTTTTGTTTTGTTTTATTTTTTTTCCCTTTTTTCTTATGTGAAGTTATCCTTGAAGAAAATACAGAATTTTGGGTAACCTATCAAAGAAACCACATAAAGGTTAGAAAATATCACCTTAAGAACAATCTGATATAATTTAACACAAAAATCCAAAGTTAAACATCTTTGTAGAATGTTTTTGCAATTGCTATCCTCAATGTCTGTTATTTATATAACGTTAATATTCTAGAAGTTTACCCGATAATAGTTACTTAAACATCATGAAATTACCTTATTCCTTCTAAAGCACAATAAGATAAACAGAAACAACATGAAATTACAACTATAAACATCATTTTGTTTTAAAGCATAATAAGATAAATAGAAACAGTAGAAACAACCTTAACCTCACAACTATAATCATCATTTTGTTCTAAAGCACAATAAGATAAATAGAAACAGTAGAAAGGACTTTAACCTTACATATGTAAACATCATTTTGTTCAAAGCATTGTATACACACTATTCAGTAGAAGCAAGATAATTAAATAATTTATCCACTGATTTTGCAACTAGGCTCATAAAACTAATTGAACATAAAAAGATTTACCTATGTCGTATTACATATATGTGTGTATATCATAATAAATCTAAAATTATTACTTGAGTATAGGTCATTAACCCTTTCAACCTTATCCTTCTTTGCCATAGGGTCTCTCCTATCATTGATGCCTTGCAACATCTCACATTGTGTCATTTTTTATCATAGTTTCCACTTTTTATTGGTTTGTTCTTCCTAAACAATTTGTAAAGATTGTTAGGTTCATTAGGTGCTTTCTTTTTTAATTTTCTTGATCTACTTAGTGGTTTATAAATGATTGAAGGGGCTAAAGGATGGTTATTTGTAACCATTCATGTTATCCTGGAATAGGGTTAATAATGCTATCATATGTCTTTATGTAAGTCTCCTTAGAATAGCAAGAATGGACATAATTTTTTGGTTTCTATCTATTTTTGAAAATAGCTTAAACAGCATACTTACAAGAGATTTCAGTCAAATCTCAATACTTGCAGGTACAACATTATTCAACCAAGTTCACAACATGGCTACTTGTACCACATTCAACTTCATACTTCAACCTATAAGTTGGAACTAAAAAGCAGTTGAATGAGTCTTTTTTTATCTTTTCAAGTTTGTACTAAATATTTCGATAGATAGGGTCTTTATATGACTCCATTCTAACCCTTTTAGCATGAAACATTTTCATCAATCTTTTTCTAATCCATTTGAACATGCTTAGTATAAGCAAATCCCTAACTAGAAATATGTAAGCATTGAACGACTCACTAAGATTGTTAACCAACAAATCTCTCTTAGTTCTTGTGCTAAAATGAGACATTGTCCACTTAGAGGGGTTCAATTTACTTACCAAAGTATAGGCCTGACCCATTTTGTCAAGTCTTTTAATATGTAACATGGCTTTTTTCCATTCTTTTACTGACCTAACACTTGTTACTTTCCACAAAGCTTGTTTATACTCTTCCTTTTGAATTGTCCTTTGAAATTTGTGTACAAGTACCTCAACCAGAATCGATACTTGACATTAGGATATACTTTTTGAAATGTTTGCTCTAATCCCTACCAAATAAAAAGAAAAAAAATATTGTTAGAAATTAAAATATAAAATATATTAGATAAACAGAGAAGCAACAACAATTTTCATACCTTTTATTGATCAAACATGAATTCTAATCCCATTTCATTAAAATTGCCAAGTTCTTCATGTAATAGATTAAGAAACCAAGACCAACTTTCTTTATTCTTTTATTCAGCTATTGCACAACAAAGTAGAAAAAAGTTTTCATTCTTATTTCGAGCAACAACATCAAGTAATTGTCTTCCAAAATAACATTTTAGATGATAGCCATCCAGTTCTATTAGCCTTCTACATCCATTAATGAATCTCTTTTTTTAGCATCAAACATAATAAAGATTCTTTCAAATCTAAGAACAAAATCTTTAGAAACACCAGTTTCAGCATCAAAAGTTGAGATTTCAATTTCATTAATGACAGAGCTCCCAAGATTTGTCTATCGAATCATATCATAATAATCTTATAATTTAGCATACTACAACTTAACATTTCCTTCCATGATTTCTTTGGTCTTTCTTTTAGCTTTATACACTTGAGAGATAGATACATAAACTTTTAATTCT